CCTGGGCTTGAATTTCTCGTGCGGACGTCCGTTTGCTCCACCTTGCCTTGTTATTTTGATTGTTCACTCACGATCGCTCTCCAATAGAAGGCAGGGGGTGACCCCACGCCACCCATGTCGGCCGCCCGAGTCATCATCGCCAACGAGGATCACGCCGAGTTTGCGCAACTCAAGAAACGATGTGCGTGGTCTACTCACCCCCTAGCACCCCTGTCTTCATTTCATACTCGCATCTATTCATTCCCCCTGTCTATGCAAACACGCCAACTTTATTCTTCAAATCGCCGATGGACAGCCCCGGCCAACGTTTTTTCATGCACCATCCACTTCACAACTTTCTCCCCGAGCTCAGACGGAAGTTAACTTCCCGCTAGATGAACATTCACTGAACACGTACGCCGAGCCCGTGTCTTGGGTCGAAAGGTGTCTTGCCAAAGGGTATTACTTTCACGATCCCCTGCAAAAGGCGCCCATGGGTGGACGAAAGCCTGGTGCAGAGTGAGTCGTGCCTGAAATTATGCGGCGGGTTTACTAACCTCCGGATCTCCGCCCCCTGCACCAACCTCCGCAGCCGTAACGACTTTACAGCCGAAGACGACACACGCCTCGCGCAGTTCATCGCAAAACGCATACCAAACAAGTCTGAAGGCGGAAGAACTGGGAACAACTTGTATAAGGACCTGTGTGATAGAGTAGGCGCAAGTCCCCCGCACTCGTGCTTGATCACAATCATCTGATGAACCCAAAAGACAGACATTTATCCATGGGCTGCAGGTCACACCTGGCAGTCCTGGCGGAATCGGTACCGCAAACGGCAAGCGTACTTTGACCCAATCATCGACGATTACGCCGCAAGGCGCCAGCACAGTGGTGACGGCAAGGTTTGTCCCTATTTTTTTTACTTGCCTATTTTGTATACTCGTCTGGTCAGCAGACACAAAAAACACTGCATCCCCTCCCCCTTCCGATTCGCAGCATACTTGTATTGTGCTTGTTTCGGGGATACACCCGATTTTTAAGTTCGCTTGCTCGTGCGCGATTTTTGCCCCTAGCGGCTGCCCACGTCACCTTTGTGTTGTGTTTCCAATCCACACGCACCTTGGCCATTCGGCCTGGTCTAGCCATCTAGCGATGAAGATGTGTTGAATTTCTGCGACTCTCGTTTAGTCCAGTCCCTGATTTCATTTCAACACCATCTCCCCAGAAATTTTCAAGGCTGGGAATCGTAACTGATTTCATTTTTTGCATTTCGTCTAGGGAGAATATGGGTACTCCCGTGGCAAGAAACGGGCAATACGAGAAGACTCGCCTGCGTCTGCTGATGACAGGGGAAAGAGGCGTCGCTCCTCCAATGAGCCGAGCATTGAGAGAAGACGCGATCAGGTGAGCTATGCTTCGCGAAAGATGGACAAAACGAAGGAGCTCTCATACCTTCGGTCAATAAAATAGAACACGAGTGCAAAGCCCACACATGGCCCGAGGCGTAAACGTCCGGACCCGAGAGAGCCTGGTTCGTCACCCCAAGAACGGCCCCGGACATCAGACACTAGTGCGCAAAGAAGCAACGCAACAACGCGGCTTGGGCATGCGGCGGGAGACACGGCCGACACAACTCTTGGCTCGGGGAGCGATCACACCGAATACACACAGTCGGCCGCCGTTGCCCGTACGGAATCAATCGAGGCGGGGCCATTTGCGGGCATAATGGATGTCCCCGCGCTCGATTCCGACCCCAACGAGAGTAACGTGAGCGGCCACGCGCCATCACCCGGTGGCGGGCTTGATCTCTCTAGTACGTATTACGGCTACGACGAGTTCGATCGAGATGTGCACGACCGGGCACGGGATCTTGGTTTGAGGTAAGTGGACGGGCAATGGTGGAGGTGTTGGGTGGCTGATATCGTTGGTTCTTGCGCAGCGATTATCTCGCACAGGGCTTCACTTCGACATGGTAGCGGGTCGCGTGAACGCCGTGGGGTTTGTATAGTCGACGTAAAAGGGCTGACATCATATCATCGCATTATTTCATCTGTGCGATATCTTTGCCATCTCAGGTATAGTTTGTCCTGTAAATTACTTTATATCACTGTATATAATATCAAAGTTGCGCTGTATGCGTGTGTGATGACTTCTGGTCAAGGTTCACGCATACAAGGGTAGGCTCGGTATGCGCGCTATATGCGCTGGCGCTCTGTTCTGGCTTCCTGGATAAATGTTCGGAGGTGTTGCCCCATTTGAGCAAAGTTCGATGGTAGAATGCAACGGGATGGGTACAGCCTTGCAGAGCAACACGCAAAACCATAAACAGACATCATAAAAACGTGCGAGATTGGATCATGAGACCACAGAGCATGAGATCATGGTGCTTGGAAGTACATGCGGACTAAGCGCATCATAGGTATATACGAATCCCCAACAGAACTAGAAAACGCGGCGGTGTGTACCGTCTGAAATCACCAGCGGTCAGCTGAACTCTTTGGACTCCTCGTTGAAGTAGTTGTCCGACAATGCATCGGGGATTGGTTCCTCCCCCATATGCCTCATCAGCCCAAAGTGAGCCATAGTCTCTTGTATCGCTTGCTCGTCCCAATCTCCTTGAGCGATCGATTCCGGCGAAGGAGCAGGGGGTAACGAACTGAAAATCAGACGAGCAACGTTGACCTGTGCACAATGTCAGGCCATTTTGTCCGAAGCGAAAGCATGTGAATGACCAACTTGCTCAAGATAGTCGGCTACGTCTGGCGGACGGAACTTGGGTTCCTCCTCCAGCATGCGCTCAATGGATCCATGCCGGTCCATGAGGCGATAAGCAGTGGCGGGTCCGACCTTCTCAAGTCGCCTAACAAAGTCCGTGCCCATCAGGATCGCAGCATCCACAAAGGCAGACCGAGACAGGCCGAGGCCAGTCTCGGTTGAAGGCGCAATTATTTGCAGTGGTACCTTTTTGTTGGTCATGTGGCGCAAGAGGGGGGCGTTGTACATGAGGACGTCCTAGAACACGGGTGAGTCTTGGGGCCAGCTGTGCAGTGGTAAATGACGAACGTACAGTGTCTTCGCTTCCGACAAGATCGGCGAGACCGTTGATTACGATGCTCGAAGCGAGCGCCTCGGCCTCGTAATGCATGGGACTCTCGAGGCACGGGACTCCCATAGCTTCAAGTATAAGCCGAGATTCAGCGTAAGTCAAGGTAGTAGGCGGATTCGCGCGGCGCATAAGCGACGCAACCATGAGACCCGACTGCTCTTCCAACGTGGCCGCCTGCTCGCTAATCGGCGCAGCCTCGTCTCCTTCCTGTTCGACCTCTTGTTCGGCTTCTTGCTCAGCAGGCTCAGGTTCAGGTTCGTCCTGAGGTAGTTCCACCGACGCGAGTTCCTTTAGTTGTTCTACGACGCGGGCGATATCGATATTAGCGCCACCCGACGTTGGCACGATTTGTTCCCATAACTTGGACTCTTCCTGGGTGTATTTAAGCTGGACTTTTGAAATCGGAATGGCTGGCAGGTCCACAGCATCAGGTTCTTCAGGCCGTGCGTGGATGAGCCCGTCGGCACCAGTTGTGCTCGTCCTAGTATAATGTTTGTGGAGATGCCGAATCACTTTAGAAAGGTGTTGGTTGTCGTTGACGCCGGCCGGAAGATCGAGTTCAGGCTTTGCTTGTTCCACAGAATGAACACTTTGCGAGATTAAACCAGCGCCTTCGTTTGCGGGGCTCGCATCTCTACCCATGGTGGACTGCTCGCCTCCGCGGTCGGGTTCCGACACCGCAGAATCTTGGGATAAAGCGAGATCGGAGGGCTGAGTGGAAGAGGAAGCATCCCGGAGAGTCGTCGGCTTTGCAGGGACTTTAGGAGCTACAAAAGATTCCAGTGGGCTTGGTACTGGTTCGTCCTTGGTGGGTATTGTTTCGTCAGGAGCGATGGTTTGGTCGTTGAGACTAGGGGCTATAGATTTAGGAAGAGGCCCAGCTTGTTCAGGAGTGTTCTCTTCGATGGTGTCGCCCGAGGGGGGTAAATCTTGAGCAACAGGCCTTTCATCAACAGTAAGGCTCGGAGACACTACGTAGGAGCCCTCGGCATCAGACAACCCTTGCGGCACAGAGATTTCCTCAGTTTTCGCGCTAGAAGTACTGATAGACGCTGACGGTACAGAGTCTGACTTGGGCGCCTTGGGCTCTTCCACAGGCAGAATGGACTCGGGGAAATGCCCCAATGTGGGTTGTGCGGGTGTAGCTAGATCATCTTGAGCAGTTGTCGCAGATGGATCTAGAACTAGAATAGTGTCGGGTTGTTCGTCCTCCAGCTCTTGTGGCTGAGTTTGTTCCATCTGATCCCTCAGATCGTCCAGAACCTTCTTTTGGTGATCTTCAGATAAAGACTCCAAGTTCTGCAAAGCCTCGGTAAGGGAAAGCAGTCGTTCGTGGCGAGACTTTTCCCAGGCGCCACGGACTTGGGCTTGAAGGCGCATTTGTCTCCGACGCTGGAGCTAAGAGCAAACTCTTACGACTAGTTTTTGCCATGGTGATCAGCGCTCACCTCGTTGAGCTTCGCGGGTATCCTGTGTTTGCCATCGAAGACACATACAACCTTGATATTGTGTTGACGCAGCTCCGCGATTAGTTGATACCATCCAAGGACATGTCGGTATGGCCGAGGGTCGGGGGTAAAGTGTAACCGCTGGGTGACGAGGGTACCATCTCTGCAGGTAACGGTTTAATCCGGATATCAGGGCTATGGCGCAGAGGGCTCACAGCGCGATGGTCTTCCCTTCCAGCGCATGAAATCTATTTGGAATGTTTTCAATGACCTGGGGGCTGCGTACAGGGTTAGTTGGATGTCAGAGACAGGCTTCAGGGATCTACCATTTTTTCAACAAGAATGGCACTATGCCCAGAACGCCCATGGGTAAGGTGGTGGGCCGGCAACGGACGCAGAAGATTGTAATGTAATATAACTCTTCTAGTGTCGATCGAGTTTCATTAATTAACCCCCAATCAAGAGATGTTCCTATGGTCTAGTGGTTATGACGCTTCGTTGTGGTCCCGAAATCGGCCGGTGGCTCGTGTTCGATTCACGATGGAGACATTCTTTTTATATTCCAAGAAATACCGAACAACCAAACGACAAGCATAGAACTACATCATTACTGGCTCCAGAGGTAACACAATTAGCTCGACTGGAACAAAACTAGGGTGCGTGGTGCCACGAAAGCCGACATTGCCGCTACAGATTGCAAAATAATATAGCATGAGGAAGACATGTTGCAAGACCAAGAAATAAATGTTCTGGGTAATGTAAGAAACAAAGGGATACTGCAAGGTCTGATTAGCGAGCTGTAGTCGTCTCGAGATTGGGCGCTCACCATAGTGTCAGGGCCACAACGTCCTTTACGCGATCACACACTCGCGACCCAAATCATTGTTCGCAGTGCTGACATGGAACGCCATTGGATTCATATCGAGGAATGTCGTGCGGGCAACATTGTCATCGAGCTGGTAGGCGGACAGCGCCCCCCTTTCAGATCGCCCGACGTAGCCTACCATCAACTTGTGAGGCGCTTGACGGTTCACAACCTCGCACTCGTCCAAGAGGTCCAAGGCTAGAGTCGACCGAAGCAGGAATGCTCGGTACTCGAATACGAGCGTCGACCGGTTGCCTTTATGGGGACATTCAGGCGAATGTTAGTGAGAACTCGGAGGGCAAAGCGGGGGCATACCCTTGAGCAGGGGCTGAATGATCGGGTTAAAAGCTTGAGGTAGCAATGTGCCCGGGGGGTACCTTTTGGCAACTGTATACCTCTGGCGGTAGAGTGCCTCTCCACTCTTCTCCGACGTATCACGGGCCGGCTCGAAAAGCTTGTCTGCAAGGACTTCACCCGTTGAAGGATCTCTAAAGAAAGAGAGCCGGGCACTGGGAGTAGGGCAGACACTGACTGGGGCATCTGGGCTCGGGTACATACTGTGCACCCGGATTTCGATGAAGCCGTCAAGGGTGGTCTCGCTCATGAAGTGGTGAAGCAAAGCATCGGTGGACCGAAATGACGTGGCGAGATCCAGTCGGTAGAGCATACGGCGGTAGTCTTTCATCATATCCGAGTCCTCCAAAGCCTGAGGGGACACGGCACGGCGGGGAGGGGGGACAGCAATCACGGTGAGTGCCACTCAACTTATTTAAGGATTTTCCGTCTTACCACTCGGGGATCTAGGTTTGCCATAGCCTTTGGCGAGGACGACAATCCAAGTTGTGGGATTACCCGTGATTGTGTGGACATGACACGCATATACTAGTGGGTTTCCTCGATATGTTATGATAGGGAGGGCTGGCAAGAGCCAGAAGGAGTCGTCGCAGAGAACAAAACAGATTATTCGGCTCCGAGTATGCGGAGAGTAAGGCTGTCAAGCAGACTTGATGACGGATTACGTGTACCAAGGGCTTAATGCGTCTCTTTCACTGAATTAAAGCTTAAGCTGGCTCACCAATCATCACCCCGCGCTACTGTGTGAATGGCAGTGTCTTTCACGGAGCGACTGATTCCGCTCGTAAAGCAGAGGGGAGCATTGCATTTCTAAAATCAAATCCATTTCCGTCGCGGAACCGTCAGGCTCGGGCATTCCGGTCCAATCCTGCGCAGGATTGCGGTCATTTATCACGCCAAACGACGTGAGAGACAAGTGGCCCTGTCTTTGATTAAGTCATTCTAGGCAGGTCTTGACAGCTTCTGTCTATTGGCCATGGATATTTCAAACGGTTTGTCTGGAACCGAAATGGTTCAGGCGAGCGACAGTCTTGTACCTCTTATCTTGAATACCCATTCCGCCCCGTATTCGGTTGCAGACTGGCACGAGCGCTGGACTTGCAAATTATTCTACCTGCTGCGCACCACCCACACATGTTAGAATCCAAGCCCGATGTCACTCGCTGGCAGGAGAAGTGCACAGTTCGCGAGGATATACGCAAATATTTCTTAGTTTCCAGACTAGCCGCCATTTGAATAACAAAAGTTTTAGAAAAAGCCTGACGTCCTTCGCCGTTGTATGCGTCAAGAACGACTACTGCGGGGGCTGTTCGGTCACGTGGAGTCCAGCACAGCAATGATGCAACCAACACCACAGCCCGGCATTTCGCCTCTGCGGTTTTCTCGCCACTGCGGGCCTTGTGCGATCGACTGCAGACCGGTGTTGGATCCCTAAATCGAGCTGGTGCCACCGATACTTTAGTGCGGACCCGTAGCACGTTTTCTTGGATTGGCCTCCGTGAGTGATCTGCCATAACCTACCTGTCGCACTAACTGGACATTTAGGGATTTTCTCAATCGGGTCTAACAGGCACGATGGTGAGCTGCCGGCGTCTCATTTTGCACTCCGCTCGGCTGCGAACCTGCGATTGAAAATTGTTTTCTAGTATGCGGTTGTCCCGAGGCAAGGCTCCAGCACAAGCGAGGCTCCGCAACAAACCGGGAGTAGTCCGCCTGCTGAGACGCGTACGACCCCTACTCGCACGGCCTCGGCCTCTCCAACGCAGCCCACTTCGTCTGCAGAGCGGACTACTTCGCGCCAACAAAGCACGACTAATGATGTAACGACAACCTCAGCTCGGTGAGTATGTTCCTTGTGCTTTGTCAAGGATATAAATGAATATGTCATTTGGTAGTGAGACTCCTACTTCGTCCCCGGATAGCACTTCCGCTCTCCCCACATCGACGAGCGATCAACCGACGTCAACGCCAGACACACAGACATCTTCACAACAGTCTCCGACATCTGGAACTGTTACCTCACCAACTCAAACCCCGACCGAAAGTGCAACGACCCCCACGCAGTCTGTTACGGATAGCGCCACATCGCAAGGTAAGTAATCGACATTCATGCTATTTCATTGCCATCGCACTCTTCATGTCAACATCAAACCATCCCAGGTGTTTCTTCTTCCTCTGCGCCTGTTGGCACCGCTTCGTTGGTATCCGATACTCCAACCCCCACGCCTACGCCGTCTCCTTCACTTTTTACTAGTCCAAGTACGTTACCAACCCTCACAGAAACTACAGGTAGATCAACTGCCCCACCCTCGACGACTATACCCGGGAACACTCGTAATCCTGCTACCACCACTACAACTCAACCCCCGAGGCCTAGTTCTGAGCCTGGGACAACGTCGAGCGTAACGAGCGTTGTCGTTACCATTGTATCTAGTATCAATGGCGTACCCACAACGGCGAGTTCTTATGACCTCATACCATTATAACGCCTGTGGTCTAAACCTTTTACACTAGTTCACCACTGTCGTTCCTACCCTTGCAATGCCCCCCAACAGGTCATCAGGACTCTCGGCGCGAACAACAAACCTAGTTGGAGGCGTCGTTGGCGGAACCTTGGCCCTACTCGGCGTCTTGCTTGGTTTATTTTTCGTTAGTAGGCGAAGGCGTAAAGTCGCGGCTGCACGGGACAACCCTCGCCTCCAAGCCCCGCGCCAAATGCTGGACACAGACGACTTTGATTTGGCGGAACCGCCAGGACCAACTCCCTACGCCTACGGCGTCGTTGGTGCGCGCACCAACCCAAATGCTAGCGGCAGCATTTTCCACGAGGATCTGCCCGGGACCACCGCGCACCATTCACATACCAACTCCCACAGTGTGGTTGGCGAAAACGACCCCCTTTTGACTCGGCATATGCGTGGCAGTTACCCTGATGCTGAGAGTATAACGACTGCATCCCCACGCGACTCGACTCATTTCCGCACCTCGTCCACAACTGGCCTTCTTTACGACCCTGCGGACCCATTTGGCGACGGACGCTCTGATGTTGGCAGTAGCTCGAGGGCGCACCCTATGGCCTTGGCTAAGGCGAGGGAAGCCCAACCCCGAGTTTCGGACCCGCACGTCTATCCTCCTTCATCCTACCATGGCCGTCCTAATCCCGAAGCGTACCCTATGCATCCTGTCGGCTCTAACGTACTGGTCCACCAAGATGCTGGCCGGGTGGGCGCACCCAACATTGGAGAGACTCCACCAAGCTACGCGAGCGCGGGTCGCCCGAACCGTAGCCCGTGATATCTCCCCCTCGTATTTTACAAGTGATGTCGCTTTAAAATTGGACAGCCGTAATATTAACAGTATAGACTTTGGTTATTCATGTATGCTCGTATGATTGCACGACTGTATCGCAATTTTCCTTTGGACTTTTGGCTGACATCAGCATATTCAAATGAAACTTGAGTCCCTTCGATCCTCTCGTCGGCCAACACCAACCCACTTGTTTGATAAACGACTATCCAGCTCTGAAAAATATATATCGACTGTACGCAGATGGTTCTCTCCAGTGTGCGAATCCATTCACGGAAGTTGTTGAACTTGGGTAGCTTGGGGCGACCTTTCTCTAGTAACATCGTATTATGCACTCCAACGCCTGCTGCTGTCAAGCCCGAGGGAGAAGAGCTCCCTGACAAAGTTCATAACCAGCTCCTCACGGTACAGACTCATACTGGCATTAGCAACATGGGTCATGCCTTGCATATCCTGAGGGCGATCGAGAAGGAATATGGGTCTATAGAGTCCTTTTTGTTTCCTCGAGTGAGTTTCATTATAGACGCCTGCATTTGTATACTGAACCCCCAGCACAAGGAACCAGGCTCCGGAGACTACCTCCCCAACTTTTTCTTCAAATTCCGCGATGTGCAGTCGATGTACAAATTGTCAAAGCCGTACACCCATCTGGACATCCCTGCCTTTCTGCCACAGCTTGAACCGAATCATTCGATTGAGCTGAAGGATATACACGCGTTACTCTCCCCCGCGACTTTTCCTTCTCCAGAAGGCAATAGTTTATTGCTTACTATGATTGCGAGGTGCGCCACTCACAGTTAGCGATAGGCAGGAACCACCCGGACGACCCTGTCAAAGCCCGATTCGCGATTCGCATAGAAGTATCCGATAAGCAAGATTGTGAGTTCGCGTGGAGAACATGTTTTCCTCTGGTAGTTGAAGCGCCAGTAAAAAATAGATCCTCAGCAGCGACTCTCTCCACAGGCGTACGCCGGTCAAAAAAATGAGCGCATCCAAGACGCACTCGCAACTTGGAAGCCCGCGG